TCTCCCGAGTGAGCCACGGGGCCGGCCCATGACTTTTTTTTTTGTAGGTAATGCAAAGGTAAACATCAAGTTTAATTGTTACAGCACCTGTATTAGTGGAGTTTGAATTAATGATATTTATTTCCCTTCCTGTATATATTACTCATTAGTTTAAGGTTTTGCAGCCAAAATAGAAGTTTATCAAATTAAATAAAGAAAACATAATATTTATTAAATAAACAATAAAGAACTCTGACATGAAGGTCCCGAAGGCTTCTATCCCTGATGCTCTGGCTGTTAGTTGATTTATGTTAGCTTGTAATTGCCCTTGTTTTGACCCAAGAGAGGATTGTGTGAGAAATTTGTCTTTGAGATAGAGCTGAAGCATTGCTCTGCAGAGTGTCTGGAGCCTAAGTTTATGGAGAGTGCCCTTTTCTCCACCCTCTGATAAATAGGGAAAAGGCCCAGTTTCCTCCAGCTGGAAAGTCGAAGTAATTGCTAAATCCATGTATATACTCATCCTGTGAGGAAAAGGACAGTCTATAGTAATATCATCTAATTGTGAGTATTTTGTCTCCACTAAAATAAGAACATTTTATAATTTTATGCTGTATAAATTAAATATGAGTGTTAATTTTGTCGGCAATTTATTTTAAACTATCATTAAACTTTAAGATGTTAATAAAAAGGTATTTTTGAGACCTTTAATTTCCATTATTTTAAATTAATTTTTGCCAAGTGAGTAAGCTAATTGTTATTATGATGAGATTCAAACTATAAAAAGCAGTTTCCCCTTGAAAACAAGAAACTTAATTAAGTAAAGTAAATTATACAGTAATTTGGCCCTCTCCTAAAGAATGTCAAGATAATTATGGACTGTAGTTGGACTTTAGCTGACATTTGATGTAATAATGTAAGTTGCTTCACGATGATGTTTACTGCTGTATTTTTCAAATGGAACTTGTTTTTAAATCAAGAACTTATCAATAAAATATATTTTATTTTAAAAATTTATTTGTAAATTCAAAGCAGCACAAAATCTATTCTGATAAAGGTGTGTTCAGGGAATTACATTTCTTTTGAAAATGCTATGATGATATAATTATGAAAATTAATTATGGAAACAGATACTAAATATCTTTCTACATCTCTGAAATATATAAATATTAATTTTATAGCCAAATTTTCTAAATATTAATTTTCTCTTTCTATCTTTCTTAAGCTGTGAAAATTACTTGACATAATATTAATTGAATACTTTTTTTATTTAAAACTGTATATGAAATTGTATGATTCCATTTATATGAAATATCTTGAATACGCAAATCTGTAAAGACAGAAAGTGGATTAGTGATTGCCAGGAACTGGGTGGAGAAGGAAGTGGGGAGTGACTGCTAATGGGTATGAGATTTTTTCGGAGGTGATGAAAATGCTCTGGAATTAGATGGTGGTGATAGTTGCACACTGTGAATTTCCTAAAACCCACTGGATTGTACACCTTAATAGAGTGAATTTTATGATATGTAAATTATATCTCAATAAAACAGCTATGAAAAAACCACATGTGAAGACTACATAGTATAAAATCGTTCCTATATTTATTTTTTATTTTTTGGCTGTTGGCTGGTGTGGGGATCTGACTTCCTATATTCTAAAGTTAAAGAATAGACTCATAGCGGAATCAAGGAGGCTTAATTTGTCTTGTATTATTTTCATTTTCCTTGGTTTCAGTAAGTTCTGACTAGAGAATTTTGGCTCAAAGGAGCCTTACTAGCACCATGCTATCCCAAGTGAGCTAACCGGCCAGCCCCCACAGGAAGACTTACCATGAAAAACATTATCATATAACGCTATCATTCATCCTTTTAGTAGAGGTTACTATGCAAACTAAAATATTTTTCTTTTTTTTTTTTTGTCTTTTGTCTTTTTTCCGTGTCCGGCAACGGATCGCAACCCTCAGTGTTGCCCCCGTACCGGACCGGGGACCGGCAACGGGATCGCAAGCCTCGGCGTTGCTCCCGCGCCTCGCTCAGCCAGTGAGGGGGAGCCGGTCGGTCTGTACGTGAGATCCGAACCCTAGGACGGGAGCGCCGCCGCACTTCCCAAGTGGCGCACTATCCAGCGCGGTGTTGCCCCCGTACTGGACCGGGGACCGGCAACGGGATTGCAGCCCTCGGTGTTGCTCCCGCGCCTCGCTCAGCCAGTGAGGGGGAGCCGGTCGGTCTGTACGTGAGATCCGAACCCTAGGACGGGAGCGCCGCCGCACTTCCCAAGTGGCGCACTATCCAGTGCGCCACCGGGCCGGCCCCTAAAATATTTTTCTTGTGAAGCAATCTACTTTTCAGTTATATCAATTTCGTGCAATGCATTATTCATAATTCAAGTGACATATGTTGCATGGGTAAAAATGTAAAATTCTTTAATATGTAGATTTAGTTCCCAAGAATCGGTATGTTTTACCTGTTAAAGCTGAAGATATTTGAAAGTGAAATAATAACAATTTATGATTAAGACAGAGGATATACAAATTTATTTATAGAATTAAGCATCTTTTCAGTAGAATAGCCATTACAATCTGTGAAAAATAGTTTTTATAAAGTTACATTTATTAAAGAAAAAATTCAGACTTTATCCAAGCCAAATTGATCCACCTGTAAAAGCTTCTCTTTTAACTATTTCGTTTTAAATAAATATTTACTAGCAGAGATAACAAAATAGAATCATTCCAGACTCATTGTAACTTTTCTCATTACTTTAACATGATAGGAAGTTTTTGATTACATTCCTCCCTCTCTGTCATTAATAATTTACTTAAATGTTTTAAAACTAATTTTATGAACACTTTTCTTTTGAAAGTTTGTTTTACTTTGCACACATATTATAATACTTCTACTAAACATGTAAAAGTCTGAAGAAAAATTCAATTTGTGAAAAATCTTATGTAGAAGATAGTGCAAGTACTACCATGAGCATATAAAGTGATAAATATGTCATATTTTAAAAGGCATATGTTTGTCAGAGGCTTATTTATGCATATGTTGCATATATAACTTGCAGTATAATCAATCTATAAGCTGATAAAAATGTATGCTTTTGACAATATTTTAGAGCATTTATTTACCAGTATTGTAAGGAAATGGTTTTAGAACATTGTTATTCATGATGAGAACCCTGTTGGTGACATTACATGGTATTTATGTGTGTGTTTTTCAGTATATTACCAGTTTTGTTTTAATTTAATTACCTTTTGTTTGTTCTATATTATTTCTCAAATGAATGCTCACTCAACAAAGTTTATATCTAAACTACCAAATACTTTTTAATTTTCAGTCTTTTTCAGATGTAAAATATTATGTGAAACTTAATGGTAAATACAATGGTTTTAAAAGAAGTATGACTAACAACTTCAAGTTTTCACATTCATTTGTAATTTCCTAATATTTAATTGAGACTCAAAAGAGAAGCTTGGAAAGAACTAAAGAGAAGTAGTGCTAAAAAGTATCACACAAATTAAACCAATAGCATTCAGAATTCTTTTTATACAAAGAGCCATTTGACCTGTTGTGATATAGGAAAAACAGAAGTAGGTACTGACTGATCCTATTAATATTAGCCCTTACTTTTCAAGGGAAACTTCATGCTCAAAGTGCACTTACTTGGGGGCATTGCTCTTGCTTCATCTATTCCATCCAGCACACAATCTATATATGACTGCTGCTATGCTATCAGAGGAGTAAGAGATTCAAGGGTTTTTAAAGGAACATAGATCCTATCAGATGATAAAGAGACATCCTTTAAATTTCAGAGATATTTCTATTTGAATCATCTTCATGTACATAGATATCTTAGCCATGAACCTATCACATGAGTAATAAATCAAAGTAAAAAGTTTTTCAGTGTAATCTCAGAAGCTATCTCAGAAGTTTGTCATGTATATATATCTTCTGGCATGATTTAAAATCCATTTTCTTCTTTTTTGATTCTTTTTAAGGGTGAAAAATAGTCTTTATCTTCTAATGGAGAGAATAAAGCTATAAAATATAATGGGCTCCAGGGTGATCTTTATTTTCTCCCAGTAATTTCCAATTTCTTACATTGTGATTTCCTGTTTAATTCTATTCAAAGATGCATTCTTTCCAGAGTTCTTTCATAGGAAATAACAAAAATAAACAGTTTTTCCCATAAGGTATAGTCTTAGATTTTCATAATTTTTCCTCATACTAGCTTATGATTTTAAGGCTTTATTAAAAGTAAACACTTTTTTTAGTAACTAATTAACTTGGTCATTAGTCAAGCAGAACCAAAATTAATGTTTTAATGTTTAGCATATCACAGTGCTATGAAAAATAATTATTTACAAAGGATTTAGAAGACTAAAAAGATGCTATGAAAGTCATTATTTTCCTACTCTTTCATTTCCTCTCTCTTGGTGAAAAAGTCTAATTTTTCTTCCTAATTCATAACACTGAGATTATGAAAACATCAGACTAACAATTATGGGAATCAATTATTAAGTCAAGAACTGTGCTGGGTTTTAGATACACTAATTAAACTCTCCCAAACAACTTTGCTAGGAAGGTTTTGCTGTTTTTCTTTTACAAAGGAGGAATCTAAAGTTCAGGGAGATTTAATAAATGACCGAGAAGGAAGTGGTGAAAGGAGTGTATGAAGCCTAACTCCAAAGCTTGGTATATTTTCAAGAGCCACATGATTATTACCAAGATTTATTAAGTTATTTGTAAAGAGCTGAGAAATAAGAAATTGACAGAATTAAATAATTTGGTGTTTAAAGACATGAAAAATTAACATTTCCCCAAGTATAAATATAAATGTCTCATATAAATTCTGCTTAATTTTTTATTTTTTGAAAAACAGTATTGTACTTTTATCAAATCATACTGATATGATAATCATAATTTCAAATAGTCTGCAAAAATCTTGTTTCCTTCAGGTTTTATCTTGAAAAATCCAGCATTGACTGAAGTGAATGAAGTATTGAGAATTGGACCAGGGACCACAGAATGGCAAATACTTATGTCACTACATCTGATGGGTTCTATCTGTCTGAACCAGTGCAGTGCTATGGTGTGTAACAAAAAACTACACTAAAATAGTTAATAAAACTTTTTTGTGGAAATTATAGTTAATTACAGAGATTTTTTTTAAAAATAGAAATTAACAAATGAGCAAAAGACTGTAAATTATTCCCCGTGAAAGAAAACAATGAGGGCCGGCCCGGTGGCGCACTGGATAGTGCGTCGCCTGGGGGTTGGGATCCATTGCCGGACACGGAAAAAAAAAAAAAAAAAAAAAAAAAAAAAAAAAAAAAGAAAACAATGAATTTTTTTTTTCTTTTTGTCTTTTTTTGTGACCGGTAACGGGATCGCAACCCTCGGTGTCGCGCCCGTACCGTGACCGGCAACGGGATCGCAACCCTCGGTGTCGTGCCCACACTGCGCTCAACCAGTGAGCGGACCGGTCTCTATATGGGATCCGAACCCTCGGCGGGAGCACCGCTGCGCTCCCAAGCGCCACACTCTACCGAGTGCGCCACCGGGCTGGCCCAGAAAACAATGAATTTAAAAAATCTGTAATAGTGTAAGATTCTTGTAAAAGGGAAATAAGTAGAAAACAGAATGCAGGAGAGAAAAGGAACTTTGTACAAAAAGACTAAAGCTATAATATAAATTTAATCTTAAATGTGGTTTTCTTTTACAGTTTGAACTCTGATTTCCATGCCAGTGTAACATCAACCAGTATTCTACCAGATTGAAAAAGAGGCAGTCTTTTTCGATAATCATTCAGGAAGGGGTCCCTTCTTTTTTTTAAAAAAAAACTACATTGTTTACTAATAGACTTTCTTCTTATATTAGGGTGTCACTTGGTATTCATGTAACACTTAGCCTTGCATTGGATGCTGTAAAATTGTAAATGATTTATATGACTTAATAAAAATTATGTTACCAATCTTGGTGGCAGAATTTTGAGGGTAAGAATAAGTCTAATCACCTGGTGATTCAGCACCAGGAAAAATACAAATACTACTAGTTACAGACATAGAGCAATTAAGCATTCCTGGATCCTTTTTTTTGTCTTTTGTCTTTTGTCTTTTTTCCGTGTCCGGCAACGGATCGCAACCCTCAGTGTTGCCCCCGTACCGGACTGGGGACCGGCAACGGGATTGCAACCCTCGGCGTTGCTCCCGTGCCTCGCTCAACCAGTGAGCGGGAACCGGTCTGTATGTGGGATCCGAACCCTCGGGCGGGAGCGCCGCCGCGCTTCCCAAGCGGCACACTATCCAGTGCGCCACCGGGCCGGCCCCTCCTGGATCCTTTTGAAGACAATTTTTTGGATTTAAATTCAGTAATTCTTCTGAAAGCAGGAAGTAAGTTGGTGTTTGGGAGTTTCTACAATAATAATAACAATGATATACATTATATATCATTTTATAGTATACACATACTTTTAAATATCATGTCTTATTTCATTCTTAAAATGACCCTCTGAGGTAGGTAAATTTATCCCCAGATATACTACAGAACAAAAAGAAACTAGTAATTTAAATTAGGCTACAAATGATAAAGAAGGTTGTTAGAGTATTCTAAGTGGGGAGTTCAAATAAAAGGTTTTTTTGTTTGAAATAACTAGATAACTGGTAAAAGTGTGTTTTAGTTTGATTTGTTTGGGGGGGGTTGGTTATAATTTCTGACCTAATTGCACTGAAAACATTGTAACCACAGCAAGGGAAATGTGGAAGATGGGGAAAACCTTCTTACATTCCAAATATTAACTTCTACTGAAGCGAGGAAATATTCATTTCTACTAAAGGAGGAAGACTGAATTTGTATGTAAGTCATTAGCAACTATTGTCCTTTCTCCTAGCTCATGAGCAACCTCTGTATATCTCTGAGATGGTAGCATTTATCATGTATTGTAATCCACTTACTGTCTGCCCATCTTGCTGGACAGCAAGCCTATGGGATGTAGTGGACATATTGAACAACTCTGTTGAGCATAAAACACTTTGAAATTTAAAAACAATTATGAAATTTTGATGCTTTACCATGTGTTCTTTTTTATGTTAAAAAACTAGATATTTTGCCAGAACAAATCAATTATCAGCTACACGACACTGATTTTCAAGAATCACCTTATTGCCAGTATTCTACTGCTCAGTTTCCTCCAGCTTTACAGTCCCAATCTATACAAAGTCATTTCAACACATATTGCTTGGATCCACAGTACAGTGGTAGTGGACAGTGTGGACTTGGTTCCTGTGAATTAAATAGACCTACTTATGTGGTTGCTCAAGATGCTGAAGATGGATACCCTGGAATAAAAAGGTCCAGACCAACTTATTCTTCCTTGCGAATTAAGGAACAGGAAGAACTCTGTGTAGTTTGCGGTGATAAAGCATCAGGATATCATTATAATGCACTTACTTGTGAAGGTTGCAAAGGTAAGGATAAAGTTAAAACAAAAGTGAAATCTCAGTGTTCACTGAAGAGGCATGAAATTTTAGGCACACGAGAATACTCTTATTTTTTAAAGTGTGAAAAATAAAACTAGAGAGAGCCATGATATGTTTAAAGGAATCAATTTGTGGGGTCAAAGACATGAAAATAGAACATAAAGTTTATATTTACCTTTCTTTTTATTTTTGATGAGGACTTTTACATTTAAATATAAAGTTCAATATTTTTATAGAAGAAGGTTTTCATATTTGTGTATGAATCTGATATTGAAATAGAAAGTAACATTTAAAAAAGATCTGAATGTTAACTATTACATCCTTTTATGCAGTTGATATTCTCATGCATTTGAAGGGAATTTGAATTAAACGACTTCTAAGATTCTAAATCTATTTTTTTGAAATGCTTTTTAAAAAATAAATTGAAGATCTGAAAGTGAAGACCAGCATTGACAATGACATTTTCAAAGAGTGAAACAGTCCTTGATGAGATTTTGAGGTTTTGAAACACTCCTGCATTGTTTTTATTCACAAATGCAGTTTTGGGACACAGCATGGGAATGATTGCAATATACCATTAGATAAACATATCTGTTAAGGTTAAGGGTGAAGTTTTACTGTCAGAATCTCACAACTCACTCCTTGCAAAGAATAGTAAAGTGAAGACAGTGGTAGATGAAGTAATAGCTTTGTGAATAGAATAGCTGGGCAAGCGTTTGCTTACTCTTGAAATGCGGGGCATTGCTGTTTAAACTAGGTTGAAGAATGAAGGGTAGTTCTGGAAACCTGAACTAGCTTTTTACTCTCTTTGTTGATTCTACATCATGAAACTTCCACTCTCAAGTGTCTACAGAAAAAGGATAGCAGGGCTTTAAGAGGGACATTGACTAAGCCTATCAACTTCATTGCTTGGAAAGGAGGAAAGAAAAGATAGCAGAGATTATTGCACAGAAACAGGAAATGAAGGAGGGAATGGGAGGAGGAACTGTTATGCATGGATTTAGGAAATGAAGGAGAAAATGACGATCCTCCCCTTTCCCTGCCAAACATGGCCCCTTTAATGTCTCAGACCAAATAAACCAGCAATACTTTCTCATCTGGAGAAATGCTAAAAAAGGGAAACGGACAGATGAGTAAGTTTGGAAGGATATTCTTGATTTTTGCAGGTTGAGGTGGGCATGTGAAGAGAGAAGAGAGGTTTTTCTTATAGCTTAATTTTTATATGACCACATATTCTTTTAAGAGAACCTTGAGAGATGCTTCATGGAACTTTGATTTTCTGTAAAACATAGGTTTAAAAATGCTTTTAGATAATATATTATAACCATAGTAAAATAGAGAGTTGTCTTAATGTGATAGGATTATTTAGTTTAATTTCCAGATGTGAATTATTGAAAGGAACAAACTCGGAATAAAATATATCAATCAGGAAAGGATTAGGACAATTATCCAGACAAATATGCATTAAACCAAAGCTTCTTACTGAGGGAAAAAAACATTTTATTGAAATAATTTAGTTAACTTGATTACTTAATTCCACTATGAAGGTATACATTAACAAAAATGACAAGTAACTAAAAATACCTATGCTAAAATTTTAAAAATTTTTTGTTATTATTAGGCTTTTTTCGACGTAGCATCACCAAAAATGCAGTATATAGTTGCAAGAATGGTGGCGGCTGTGAAATGGACATGTACATGCGTAGAAAATGTCAAGAGTGCAGACTAAAAAAGTGTAAAGCAGTAGGAATGTTGGCAGAATGTAAGTACCATCGTATTTTGCTTTGTTTTGTTTTAAAGTGGATTTTAATTTTTCTTACCTTACTGAGAACTTAATATATTCTTTGAGTTGTCATTTTGAGCCTATACATATTTGTTTGGTTTTAAGCTATTTCTCCAGCAACTGCTCAGTTAGGATGGCCAATTACTAACCTAGATAATTATATAACTTTAGGTTGAGTCACATGAAAACCCTGCTCTACACTGCATTGCCCTAATTTTGGAAATAATCATATTTTCTTCTTAATTGGAAATCCTTGCATTTTCATGTGACTTAACCTGAAGTTATATAAAACATGTAGAAAGAGCAGAATTTTAAATTAGTAGTTCCCAAATGTTAATTGGTAGTTGCCTACATGAGATCTAGGTATGTAGAGCCTACTAACAATTAACATATAAATATTAAAACTCAACTCCACAGGCAGAAGAGTATGTAATCTTTTTAAGTCCCATCTATATTCACTGTGTTTTTTTGCTTAAATTACATGATGTAATTTAATACTCACAGTAGTACTAAGATTTTGGCATCATTTCCTCATTTCCTCTTATTCTCTATGGCTCAAAATCTCAGGGTGATTTTTAAATTCATTTTTCTTTATCAAGTACCATTAATGGTTTCTTTACATGTCTAATCTGACTTTGTGCAAACTCTCATTATCTTGTTCTTATGCTATCATATTAGTTTCCTGGCCATTTATTCTCTCTCTCTCTCTCTCTCTTTCTTTTAAATTAATAAACTTAATTTTTTCATAGCAGTTTTAGGTTTACAGAAGTATTGATAGGAAAGTACAAAAAGTTCCCACATACTGACTGCCCCTACCCCTCCCTCTGCAGTAGTTTCCACTATTATTGGCATATTGTTTTAGTGTGGTACATTTGTTACAGTTGATGAACCAATATTCATATATTATTAGCTAAAGACCATAGTTTACATAGGGTACACTCTTTGTGTTGTATATTCTACGGATTTTGACAAATATATAATGACTTGTGTCCATCACTACTGTATCATACAGAATAGTATCACAGCCCTAAAAATCCCCTGTGCTCCTTCCTCCCTCCCTCTTCCAAATACCTAAGACAATCGATTTTTTTACTATATCCATTGTTTTGCTTTTTTCAAAACATCATGTATTTGGAATCATACAGTATGATTTTCAGATTGGCTTCTTTCACTTAACAATATGTATTTAAGGTTTCTCTATATCTGTTCATAGCTTAATAGCTCTTTAAAATTTTTAAAAATTTATTTATTTTTGGGCCGGCCCGGTGGCGCACTGGATAGTGCGCCGCTTGGGAAGCACGGCGGCGCTCCCGTCCGAGGGTTCGGATGCCACATACAGACCGGCTCCCGCTCACTGGCTGAGCGAGGCGCGGGAGCAACGCCGAGGCTTGCGATCCCGTTGCCGGTCCCCGGTCCGGTACGGGGACAACACTGAGGGTTGCGATCCGTTGCCGGACACGGAAAAAAGGACAAAAGACAAAAAAAAATTATTTATTTTTTAAATGACACATTGATTATACATATTTATGGGGTACAGAGTTATATTTCAATACATGTATGTAGCGTGTGATGGTAAAATCAGGTTGATTAGCATATTCATCATTGCAAAAATTTATCATTTTTTTGTAATGAGAACATTTGAGTTCCTCTCTTCTAGCCATTTAAGAACATACAATAAATTGTTGTTATCTATAGATGCCTAGCACTACTGTACACCATTAGAACTTATTTTTCCTAACTAGCTGTGATTTGATATCCAGTAACCAACCTCTCCCCATCCTCTCCTTTCCCTTTCTGGCCTATAGTAGCTACAGTTCTACTCCCTACTTCTAAAAGCTCAATTTTTTCAAACTCCTACATGTAAGTGAGAACATGTGGTATTTATCTTTCTGTGCCTGACTTATTTCACTTGACATAATGTCTTCCAGTTTCACCTATGTTGCTGCAAATGACAGGATTTCATTCTTTTTCATGCCTAAATAGTATTCCGTTTTATATATATATATATATATATATATATATAAAATAATAATTTCATTATATATACCACATTTTCTTTATTCATTCATCTGTCAATGGACACATAGATTAATTCTGTATCTTGGCTATGAAGAATAGAGCTGTAATAAACATGAGGGTGTGGATATCTCTTTGATATGCTAATTATCTTTTCCTTGGATAAATACCCAGCAGTGGGATTGCTAGATCATAAGGTAGTTCTATTTTTAGTTTTTTGAGGAATCTCCATACTGTTTTCCATAATGGCTGTACTAATATACACCCCCATCAACAGTGTATGAGAGTTCCCTTTTCTCAGAATCCTTACCAGTATTTATTCTTTTTTGTCTTTTTCATAATAGCCATTATAACTGGGGTGAGATGCTACCTCATTGTGGTTTTGATTTGCATTTCCCTGATGATTAGTGATGTTGAGCATTTTTTAATGTACCTGTTGGCCATTTGTATGTCTTTTTTTGAGAAGTACCTATTCAGGTCATTTGCCCATTTTTAAAGTCAGATTATTTGTTTTTATTGCTGTTAAGTTCCTTGTATATTCTGGATATTAATTCCTTGCTGGGTGCACAGTTTGCAAATATTTTCTCCCATTCTGCTGGTTGTGTCTTTGCTCTCTTTCTTTCGTTGTACAGAAGCTTTTTTCGTTTGATGTAATCCCATATGTCTATTTTTGCTTTTGTCGCCTGTGCTTTACAAGTCTTCTCCATAAAATATTTTCCCAGTCCAATGTCTTGTAGTGTTTCCCCTCTGCTTTCTTCTAGTTTTTCTGTAGTTTCAGTCTGAGTCCAGGGCCTCAGACTCCCAAGAGAGTTGCTGGGGTGTTCTGAGGCTCCTCAGCTGGAATAGGTGACACTGGGTGAGGTTCCCGGTGTTGTGGGCAAGATCTTGGGCTGCTGGGAGAAGTGTTGGGCTGCTCTGCAGCTCTTAACCTGGAGTGGTGACCCTGGGCCGGCTCACTGGTGCTGTGGCCAGGATTCTGTGGCCCCCAGGAGAGGTGCCGGGGTCCTTTGCAGCTCCTCAGATTAAATGGGTGACTGTGGCTGGGGTTACTAAGGCCACAGCCAGTTACCTTGGACTTTAAGAGAGATGCTGAGGCACTCAGCAGCTTCTCAAATGAAGTGTGCAACTCACATTGGGGTTAATTGGGCTTTAAGCAGGATCCTGCACCCCCAGAAGATGTGCTGAGGTGTTGTGAAGCTACTTAGCTGGGGTTGGCAATGCTGGTGTGGTCACTGGGGCCACAGCCAGGATCTTGGACTCCCAAGAGAGGTGCTGAGGTGCTCTTCAGCTCCTCAGTAGAGTGGGTGACACTGGGAGAGGTTGCTGAGGCTGAGAGAGGGATACTCTGCCCCCCCTGAAAGACACTGGGTTATTCTGAAGCTCCTCAGCTAGAGTGGGCAACTCTGGACAAGTATGCTGAGGCTTTAAGTGGGATCCTGCACCCTTAAGCGGGACATTGGGGTACTCTGCAGGTTCTCAGTTGGAGTGGGTGACTCTGGGCAAGGTCACTGGGATTGTGGGTGGGATCTTGTGTCCCCAAGAGAGATACTGGGTTGATCTTTAGGATCCCAGCTGGAGTGGGCTACTCTGGTCAAGGTTTCTGGGCTTGTGTATAAGATCCTGTGCCCTTAAGAGGGACACTAGCCTGCTCTGCAATTCCTTAGCTGGAGTGGGCCACTCTGGTGAGGTTGTTGGGTTCATGGCTGGAGCCCTACACCCCCAAAAAAGACACTGGGTCACTCTGCAGCTCCTCAGGTGGAGTGGGCCACTCTGGGCAAAGTTGCTGGGTGAAGTCTCCAGAGTTATGGGTGGGAACCTACACCTGCAAGAGAGACTCTGGGATGCTCTGCAGCTCCTCAGCTGGGTGGGTGGCTCTGGGCGGGTTCATTGCAGCTACAGATGGTACTCTGTGCCACTGGAAGAGGCACATGGGTGCTCCACTGAATAGAGCAGGGCTCCTGGCAGTGGTAGAAGGTCATGATCGGTCAGTTCTCAGGCTCTGGAAAGTGCAAGCATAAGCTCCCTTTGTCTTGGGTGGCTCTGCATTGTGCAAGACCACTTGTTCCCAGGGATACAGGGCACTGTATGGGTTCAAGTGCTGGAGTCATGGTGTGATAGGAGGGCCTTAGGTATGTGGAGACCCCAGGGCCATTGGTCCCCAGAGAAAAATGTACTCTGGTGTTGGCTCCATTCCCCCAAAGGGTAATGTACTTCAGCAGTGTGGGACCTGAGGAATGGAGGGCTCAGCGTGAATTTCCCCTCTGAAATAATGCAGTTATATGGGCTCCAAGCCGATCCCTATACGGGGCTCACAACATGCAAGGGCTGTGTGGCTTTCTTGTTACTTGGATTGCAGTCATTGTTGGTGGAGTTGAGGATGCTTGCCTCTTCCCCATAGTAAGGAGTCTCTCCTGGCTCTGAGCTGATCTTGGTCACATGCTTCACTTGTCTTTCTATGTTGCCACCCCAAATTTCTGAATCTCGGGGTATCTTCTTCACTATTTTGCTGAATTCCAGTGTTTTCCCCGTCGACACTCTATTCAACATGTGATTATCTGTTTGTTGTTTTGAACTTTCTTTGTGTCAGAGGAGAGAGCTGAGTGCCTCTAATCAGCCATCTTCAACTGCCCTCCTAGTCTTCTCCATTCTCTCTTTTTAGTTCCGTCTATCTTCAACTGCTATAATAATCTTTGATTTTTATTGTTATGCTCTTATTCAGTAAACACCAACACAATATTCTGTTTATATTATACTGCTTATTGTCATAAAACCAAAACCCTTTAGTCAAAGTTCTTCACCAAAAGGATTTCTATTATTTAAAATTTCAAAGATGGAATAGATCTTAAGGTTCTTAAGAATCTTATCCTGTCCAACCAGCTGAACACTTTACTTTAACCCTGTTTTATTTAGCTTGGGCTGCTTAAGAAAACATCGCAAACTAGGTGGATTAAACAACAGAAACTTATTTTCTCACAGTTCTGGGGCCTGGAAGCCCAATATCAGGGGGCCAGCATGGTCACATTCTAATGTGGGCTCCCCTCCTACTTACAGATGGCTGCCTTCTCACTTTGTTCTCACATGGCAGAGAGAAGAGAGAGCAAGCTCTCTGGTGTCTGTTCTTATAAAGGCACTAATCCCATCATCAGGGGCCTACCCTCATAACCTCAGCTTTCCAAAGGCCACATCTCCTTATACCATCACATTGGGGGTTAGGGCTTTAACCTATGGAATTTGGGGGGACATAATTTGGTCCATAGCAATCCCTGATAAATTGTTTTTAACCTATTCCTGAAAACCTCTGTGAAAGGGAACTCACATTATCCCAAAGCAATTCATAAATGAAATCTGAAAGAGAAAGAGGAAAAAAAAGAAAAAGAAAAAAGAAATCTACGCTTCTTCCCTTTAAACTTTAAAGGATTATTCCAAGATTGAAAAACAGAGAATTGATATGAGAGCAGTTATCATGAATTGTGGATATAAACATTATTTAAATGTTATTCACATTCATTCAGATTCTCTCTCTCTCCACTTTATCACTCCGTATTTGAATGCCTGGGTGTCTAAATCCCATATACTAGGTAAAAGGAGCTTTCATAAGAAAAGCAATGTTTTTTTTTTTTTTTATGTGACCTTGTTTCGTTCTATAACGATGCAACTGAAATGACGGAACTGGAAAGATGAACCAAAAATATTAAATACATAGTACATTTCTATCTTCATAGAATACGAGAGTCCTAATTAGGTAATCTGCACATCATTAAAGCTTTGTGATTCCTATTGGGGTACAGCAAGCCAGTCCACTTGCCTCTCAAGCAGTTGGTGTCTGCTTGTTTGAGAGACATGTTCACAGTCTAATGAGCATACATTTCTAGATTTAGGTCTGCTTAATTCTATGTCCATCAAATAAAACACAGACTGGACTAGTAAGGACAGACTTTATTAAAAAAGATTATTGCAAGAGAGGAAAGGGACTTTTGCAATAGGGGGAGGACTATTGCAGTAGGAAGAATGCTGTGATCATAAGATCTGTAAGTGACTCAAGAGTTAGGCAAAAAAGGGTTTTCTTTTACAAAGAGGAGTAAACAGGCAAAATAGAACTGGGTGTGAAGTAGGATAAAAGGGTGGTATGATCATGTAATATCTCCTTGTCTCAGAAGAGGATATATGCTGGCTCAGGCTGACGGTGGCCAAAATTCTGGGGTCTGGAGCAAGAAAGTTTGGTTAACAGGTATTTTTGTTCCAATTGATCAGTGTGAATAAAACAGTTGAGCCAATCATTCATGAGGCAAAAAATGTGAATTTAGAGGGTCTGTTGTCTGTCCTTGTCATAGGTAAACAAGGGAGGCAACCATGAGTCTTATCTAAGTCATATGGCAGTAAACCATTTTCCAGAAAGAAAAAGGGTGGGGCGATTCCTTTAACTTTTGCTATTTTAGAGGAGCACAGGGCTCAGGTAAAATTCAAAATTCTCAGGATCTAGGGAATTAAGGGTTGTCCCAACTTTATCCTAAAGTAATGCATGACTTTCAATGGTTTTCATGTTCCTGCCATCACCATAGAAATTCATATTACACTTACCCTTAAAGTAAACTGAGAATATTCAGTGTATTTAGTTCTTTTCATTAATCTTTTTCCAGTTCCGTAATGGGTCATAGCAGCCTATCTCCCCTCCACGCTGGTGGAATAAAGCTTCTTGGCTGAAATAGCGCTGGGCTGGGGTCTCTCTCTCTCTCTCTCTCCCTTTTTTCCTACTTGCCAAACTTAATATCTTGTACAAACAGGCTTCTACAACATGACTTCATTTCCTTGGGAATCTTAATTCCTTTGCCACATGATGATACTCCAAGTATCTGCAGCTATTTTATTCCTAATGAATTCTTTTCTCTCAATTTAAAATCATTAAGAACACTTGCTCCTCAACAATTTCTTCACCCATTTAGATACCATTTTATTTTTTGCTGCCCAGAAAGGAAGATGACTTTTGACTTCAAGTCCTCATCAATATCATATATATGCACCTAGCTGTGAGTGTCATTATTTCTTGCTCTGAATGTAACTAAAAACATGCCCTTTTCCCATGTATTGTGGACTCCATGACGACATCTTCTTTCTTTAAAGGAGTCCATAGTTTATCTTCCCCAAAATTTATTCTAGTTAATTAGAAATAATTCTACTGTTGATGTTGTTTACCACCATTTCCTCTTCCTCTGTATGAGATTTTTTCAATTTATTTTTCCCCCTCCATGCCTTGTTTATCCTCAGCTCTCTGCCATTTCCTTTCCCTCAGGGTGCTCTTCTTTCTTAGAACTCAACTAAAACCTCTTTCAAATACTTCTCTTTAATAAGCCTTTCCACAGTTAATCCACTCTGATTACAATGCCTCATTTTCTTTATAACATGTTTGCATTTGTGTATTCAGTTCAAATTATTTTAATATTTACTTAGTATGTTTTAAATGGCTTCACATTTTGATGTATTCTTGTTCCCTGACAAAATAATGAAATCATTTAGAAAGAGGCTAAGGCTTTTGTTTTGTTCTTTACTTCAGCCCCTGATATAATACTTTTATGTAATAGGTATGTTTTAAATACTTATTAAATATATAATGAAAGGTAAATATTAATATTTGGTTAATTTTAGTGATTTATGATAACTGCTGCTGTTCAGGTAGAGGTGCTAGTTGAAGATTAAAAGATCTGTAAAGGTGATAGACCAAAAATAAAAACTGTCCACTTTATAAAAGGAGTATAACTGTATTATCTTGTTTATAAAGAAAAAATTGACAGCTCATTTTAAAAATCACAAGGTATTCTTTTGACCTTATGATATAAAAATCAAGGATAAAAGCCTGTATATAAGTTATTTCAACTGCTCCATCCATTGATATTCTATGTTGCTTCCAAGATATAATTAATGTAGAAATTTCTCAAATATAAAAAAGTCTAAATTTATAATTTGGAGATGCAAAATTAATTTTTAATTTATGTCTAGGGGGACTATGTACTTTTAAGTAGACAAGATAGTTGTATTACAGTATTACAGTAAATTTAATTGCTGTGTACGTACTTGCCCCCAAAGAAGGGTTCTTTGTAAAGAGACTAGTCTGTGATCATATACGTGTACAATATAAGACAAGTTTCATCAAATACTTTAATGTTATTTGCTGTACCCAAAACATTTTTATATCACAAATTTTGTAATATCACAGGTTTGCTCACAGAAATCCAATGTAAATCAAAGAGACTTCGAAAGAACTTTAAGCAGAAGAATAGTTTTTACTCTAACATCAAAGTGGGAGAGGAAGGAATAGACAACAAACTTGTATCATCATCCACCACTAGATCTGGAAAAGTGGCAAGACTTTCCTTCTTATAAAATTTCTTATTTCTATCCTTGTACCAGTCAGCTCTGTCCCCTCCCCCCAATTCTTGTTTCTTTAATGATTATGGTTTGCTTAATAAGTATACATTATAGTTTTCTCCCTGTATTTTCTTACAGATTCAGGACAGTATGGAACTAACTCAAGAGGAACATCAGTTCATTAATAACATTGTGGCTGCTCATCAAAAATATACCATTCCTTTAGAGGAAACAAAGAATTTTGTATGTGTTCATTACCGGCAAGAAATAATTTACAGTTAATTATGTTAGGAAATAAGACATACATATAACAGTTTAAAATTTCAACAGTTATTCACCAAAAAAAAAAAAAAAAATTATCAATCTTACTTCTTTTATGGGTTAGTTGCAGGAATATGCAAATCCTGAACTGAGCTTTTTGAGACTCTCAGAGACAGCAGTCTTACACGTACACGGGCTAATGGAGTTTTCCAAGGGCCTCCCAGGTAATTACCTTTGGGAAAAAATTAAAGTAATTTAACACTTAAACTAATTTTTTAAAAAAGTTCCCTGTTTTAAAGGAAGGGGACATTTCAGGAAAATAAAAACCTCTATTTTTTTTTCACCAAAGCTGCTTCTAAACGGAAAAATATGTTTACTTTGTCTGCTTTAATCAATCAGGTAGGTGAAAATCTAAATATATAAAAATATTATTCAAGTGATTTAGACTTAGAGTTAAGGCGAACAATATGGTTAGTTGTATGTTTTATTTTATTTTATTTTTTTAAGATTTCTTGTTTTGTTTCTTGGATAAAACATGAAAAAAAAATTCCCCATACAGTTTTAAAAAATCAAGCCAGGGTTGGCTAAAATGTAGCTACCTATTTACATAGATAACTCATTCTAAAAATAAATTTCTCAAGGTCGAATCAATCATATTTGATTTGCTGTTGCCATAGGAAAAGTATTATCTAGTTCTGATGAAAGTGCCCCAAGATGTTACCATGTGGAATCAGGAATTTTATTCAGATTTGAAATTACATATCATGATTATTCTAAGGGACCATTTAGAATTCATGTCATAAGTAAATAAATAATTTAAAATATTAAATACTATATCTGAAATTACATTGTTCATTATCTATTTCAAACAATTATGTCTCTTTTTATAGGATTTGAAAGTTTGACCAGTGAGGATCAGGCTGCATTACAGAAGGAATCAAAAACTGAAGTGATGTTCCTTCATGGGGCTCAACTTTACAGTCAGAAGGAATCAGCCTCTGAAAGTAAAAAAACACTTTCTTTTTAACTTTAATGTTAATAGTTACTATTAAATTTAGTAACAAATTATATAAAATTGAGCTGTTTTTCTTATTATATTTTTGTTTTACCAGTTAGTGTAGGAATAGCTGTTTATAAACAGTTTTCCAGTACACTGCTCTAGCTTTTGTTTTTCTTTTAAAGAAAGCTATCCTTTATTATACAGAATCATGGGAATCACATTTTTGGAGTATCTTCTATATAATCTCTCTATAAAATGTGAACTATTAATCTAGCTTCATATTTAAGTAATAAATATTATAAAGCTACTATTTTGGGGGAATGTTTCCCATCTAACAGCTATGCTGAATTCTGAAAGAGATTTAACGTACTATTTGTAAAAAGATTAGAAAAAAATCAGGCTTTCTATTTTTCCTTTTTACTAGGTACTATGACAATATCAAATCATTCAGCTCATACACTGAATTGTTACAATCAGAGTGGTGATAGAAGTGTTATTTATTCTGTGGAACAATTTTGCAGTGAAGACTGTCCTTCTGCCACTCTAACTGGTAATATTACACACAGTACAAAATATTATATTGGATGAAAAAATTTGGTCAGATATAATGTTTTATTTTCTTATACTGCTTTGAGAAAAAATGATAATTTCTATATGCTTGATTCTGCACTATGTCCTGATGAAAATACACTTTTATATTAATCTTTTTAGGTATTACTGAAGAATTTATTACTGCACTCTTTTACTTCTACAAAAGAATGAGTGAACTTAATATTACTAATACTGAATATGCTCTGCTTGCTGCAACAACTGTGCTTTTTTCAGGTAAAAACCATTCAGCAGTACAAATCTGGAATACATTTGATTATGAAATCATGAAGTTAGTGGTTTTTCAATTATTCATTGAAACCAAATGTATCAATTTTGTTTCATTACAACTTCCTTCTCTGTGAGAGCATCCCTTTAAGCTTATGAACATACTGTAATTTCTTCCATCTTAAAAAATGCCTCTTGACCTCCTATCTCCTTTCATCTACTCTCCCATTTTTCTGGTCCACTTACAGAAAAAAAAATTCTTTAAAGAGTTATCTATACTCCTGTCTCCACGTCTCTCCTCTGTCTCATTTGCTCCTGAGGCCTCTACTGTTAGATTTCACCCCTCATCTTTACCCCACCATAATATGTCATCATATTCAGAATCTTGGTATTGCTGATTGCAGTGGTCAGTTCTTAGTCCTCTTCTTACTTGACCCATCAGCTACATTTGACAGAGCAGATCAGATCCTCTCTCTGAGAACACTTTCATCAGTTGGCTTCAGTTGATCACTCCTTTCTTCTTGACATGAGTATTTTTTTTTTTCCACTTGATTTTCAGGACACCACACATCTTGATTTTCCTCTTTACGAGCTGCTCTTTTTGTCTCCTTTGTTAATTTTTCCTCATCTCCCACAATGATAAAAGATGAGGTGTCTCAGCCCTCAGTTCTCTTTCTTCTATGCTCACTTCCTTTGCAATTTCATCCTATCTCATGTCTTTTAAGGCAATGTCTATGCTGACCACTCCCAAATTTACATATCAACCTGGAGTGCTCCCCCAAACACCATTAAATAGACTACTTGGATGTCTAATAGGCATATCAAATTTTACATGCCCAAATGTGAACTCTTGATCTTTCCCCACCTCATCTTCCTACACTTTTCCTCCATCTCTACTAAGTGGTATCTCTATCCTTCAAGTTGCCTAAATCAAAATTCTTTGTCATCTTAACTTCTTTCTTTTGTATTCATATCAAATATGCAACAAAGCCTGTTGGCTCTACCCTCAAAATATAGCCAGAACTTAACCACTTCTTACTGTCTCTATCCCCAGCGCCTTAATCCAAACTACGGTCCTAACTGGCTTTCTTGTTTCTGCCCTTGCCTCCCTACAGTCTACTTTCTATAAGTTGCCAGAGCAATTCATTGAAAATGTAAATCAGACATGTCATTACTCTGCTCATAACCCTTCAATGACTTCCTATTTTTCACAGATTAAAGGCAAAGTTATTTCCATCATTGCCTACTACCATCCCTTTTGCTTACTCCACCCTAGCCACACTGCTTTTGGCACAGATGTTCCTTGAAGATTTCAAGCAGGCTCTTGTTACAGATTCTACTATTCTTGATAAGTCTTCTGCCCGGAAAGCTCTTTCTCCAGATAGCTACGTGACTCCCTCCTTCGCCACCTTGGATGTCTACTAAATGTCATTTTATCTCTGATTAGCCTCTTAAAAATAAATACCACCCCTCTGCTCGAAATTCTTATCCCCTTTTCCCTATAACACATCACTGTCTGTCATATTATATTTTTATTTCTTAAAATGTGTATGTGTCTCTTTCCTTCCCCACTCATCTCAGACCCAGGGTACTAAAAGCTCAAGGAGGGAAGGAAGTTTTGTCCGTTATGCTCAGTGATATACCTCTAGCACAATGACCGGATTAATGAATACTGCCTAACCATTAAGAAATTGTTGGTTGGCTTCTCAAAAGAGGTGTGCAGCCTCTCGCATGACATGGATACTCCTGGATGAATTCCATTCTCGCTTATTTTGAGTGTATACAAACCAACTGTTTAGAGACTCCACTTTTGCAAAGCCTTACTGTGTTTTTATGTTTTGGTTTGAAAGAGAAGTTTACTTAGCAATAATTATAAATAAATGAATATTCCTTAGTGGAAAAACCAAAATATTCTTGGTTGGCTCTTACATTTTGCAGCTAGGTACTTAAGAAGCTTTGCCTTACTGTTGACCTATGGGAAATTACTTAATCTTTTTAAGTTTCAAGTAATTCCTTGCTTGATCTTCTATTCTTACAACTACTTACTGACCCTACCTTCCTAAGTGACTTTACGGAAATTACTTAATTTTCTAAGTTTTCAAGAAGCTCATCTGAAAAATGGTGGTAATAATAGAACTTACCTCACAGAGTACTGTGAAGATTAAATAATGCATAGAGGCAAGTTACTTAGCATAATGTCTGGCGTATGTTGAGGGCTCAGTAAATATTTATTATTTTAATTATTTAAGAAATGCATTGTTTTAAATGAATTTATTGTCTTCTGCCACTTTCCAATATACATTAAAATAAAGATGATGATATTTTTCAGATCGTCCATGCCTTAAAAATAAGCAACATGTGGAAAATTTACAGGAACCAGTTTTACAAATTTTGTATAAATATTCAAAAATTTATCATCCAGAAGACCTACAGCATTTTGCTCACCTCATAGGGAGGATTACTGAACTGAGAACTCTGAATCACAACCATTCAGAAATACTTAGCACCTGGAAGACAAAGGACCCCAAATTGACTACTTTACTCTCTGAGAAATGGAATTTGTATTCACGTTGCTAAAATTTTAGAGTGTTGCTGTTTGTCTTAAACTTTCTAAATCTAAACTGTTAACTGTATATCATTGGATGATTGATTTGAAAAACATGAACAGGATTGCTGTGTTACCAATATATCACCATATAATAGACATCATCAGTGCTCATCAAATTTTGTGGAACATAGGACTATCACTAGAGAGACATCTAGGATTCTTTTCAAGATTAGACTCAAAAGCAGCAATGGGTATTGTTTTTGCATGGTTCTTTCAAAAGGAACCATAGAGTTATCACCTGAAGAAACACCACTTTTTTCATTTAGTTAGAAAATTGAATGAAAATATATAGATTACTTATAGGCATAAAAAAGGCTACCTATTGGAAACAGTTGTTATTGGAATAAGGGCTGTTTGTGACCCTCATTAGTTAAGGACAAATTGATGGAATATGGAACTAACCTTTTAAACCTATTCCTGTTGCAGCATTTATGAATTATTAAAGGGGAACAAAGCTTTGTTTAACTCTTATCTTTTCTTAATGTCTTAAAAGAAGATATTTTATAAGCCCAAGTCAGAGAATGTGTGATGGTAAAATATTGAAAAAAAATCATTTAAATATTTTAACATATATTGGGAAATTTAGCATAATTTTTTCTCTTTTTGGTACACAATATTTTGACATTTTTGTCAACATCTTTTGCAGAAAAAATAAAGTTCTTAAGACCGGAAAACTTTCCACAAATATTTTAGACTGGGACAGGATGGTAATATGTCGATTTCATATAAAATACACAAAAGTGAGAAATTCTATAGTGGCACTATTGTTTTGAAAGACTGGATATAAGTGAATAAAATAAGTTGATATAATAATAGGAGTAGCATTTTGGTTTTCAATAAAGAAAAAAAAGACTATAGTTGAATTTTTCACTATTGCAAAATTTTTAAAAAATTTGAAGCATTAAATATATACACTCAATTTAAAAGTCTTAATTAGATCAATTATTGCCCCTTGAGGGTACCTTGTGAATATGCTTGGCATCATCTCTTGGAGGGAGTGTCTTGTCTTTATTAGGGTATCTACACTCAATTTTCTTAAAATGTAAAATAAAGGAGTTAAACTGGATTATACTTTTCAGCTCAAAAATTTTATCATTTTATTATTTTTTCTTTCCTTATTAGCATGTTCATTATTACAAATCATACTTATTCTTTATGCCTCTTATCCAATCTCTCCCTGTCCTTCCCTTCCCTCCCCCCTCTAATAACCATAGATTTGTTCTCTCCACCTTAAAGATTAACTGTTCCTCTGTTGACTTGTTGCCTAGATTATCTGTCCGGTACTGAGACACGTGTAATCAAGTCCTCCCCTATTATCCTAAGGCAGATGCTTCATCTATTACCCTGGAATGTGCTCTGTGGAGCTGTGAAGAGAGAGGACCTCTTCTTTTTTCTTTTTTTTGGTCTCTGCTGGTGTCTCTCCTTGTGTCAATGCAGTTGAGAGTCTGGCATGCCATCTGCACAGTGGCTGTGACTGCTGCTATAGAAACTAGCTTATTTTGCAGCAGCAGTGGAAGTTGCTTTGGCTACAGTGGGCTACCCATGTGGAAATGGTATTTTTGGTGTGTGTGCTCTTTACCTGGTTGCTGCTGGGTTCGGCTTACCCTGGCTCCATGCCTCATGACTCCCCCAAATTTTATCATTTTGGCAGAAACTATTGTGTCTGATAAATTAAGTTTACAAAAACATAAAGAGTTATTTAAAAATATTGATAAAGTCCTTTGGAAAAGCATTAATTATATTAGGATATCTGGTGAAAGTTAGAAAACGAAGTCAATATATCCAAAAACGAACTCATTATCTTACTGCTGAAACCTAGGTGCTGAGCATCATGATAGTTATATATCTAGTTACCCAAGCCTGAAACCAGACAGTCATCTTACACTAATTCCTCTCACTTCTCACTATCAAAAAGTCATCAAATACTGTTAATTTTATTTGCAAAATATTTATTACATTTGACAACTCCTCTTCTCCACTGCCCTTGTCACAGCTCAGGTCCTCCTATTTACGCAGGTTATTAAAACTGTTTCCGTAACTCCACTTTCATAAGCCTGAACCATTCTCATACTACACATTTTCTTCTGACTCTCATCATGCCACCCTTTTTGCTCAAAATTCTTCAAGATCCCATCCCTAAAGTCTAAAATCCAAATGCCTTTCCAATGCCTTCATATCTGCTCTTGGAGTCTTCACTCTCATCTCTTGCCATTTTCCCCACTTGGTCCTCAGACACCTTGGACTCAGTTGTGCTAATTTCTCTCATAACTCTAGCGCATTTGCCCACCTTTCCTCAGCCGGGAGTACTCTTTCCCTATTCACTATCTAGCCAACTCTACTCACCCTTCTGTTCTCCATTGAAACAGTAACAGAGGCCTACCACATCTGCGAGGCCTCTCCTAAGCGCCTATGTCCTCATAACTCTGTAAATACAGTCGTCCCTCGCTATCACGGGGATGGTTCCAAGGCCCCCTGGCTTACCAAAACCCACAGATGCTCAAACACCTTACATAAGATGGGGCAGTATTTGCATATCACCTACGCACATTCTCCCATATACTTTAAATCATCTAGTAGATTAGTTATATTACTTATACAACGTAAATTCTATGTAAATAGATCTTACACTGTATTGCTTTTTTATTCATGTTATTTTTTATTGTTGTATTGTTATTTTTTTGCTGTTTTTTTTCCCTCCCCGAATATTTTCCATCAGCGGTTGGTTGAATCAGCCATGCGCATACATAGGGCCGAGTGTATCACTTTTAAATGATCACACGACACCGCAATTGTTCGTTTGCACATTTGTTGTCTTCCTTAAGATTGTGAGCTCTTGGAGCGCAGAAATGGATCTTTCGCTCTTAGCTTGCATTTATCACAGCACCTGACAGTTTTCCCGACATTCTTTGACAATAACAGAAGCTTCCAGAACGCCCACTCTAAGAAGAAACAGAATCCGGCAAGAATTGTCCCTAGCGCGCGAAAGGAAATCTCGCGAGATGCAGTCCTTGGGAGCCTGGCAAATCTCGCTGTTGGCAGTTATTTTGCCGTTGGTCCGGCCGGTGGCTCACTCCGGAGCTGATACCACCAAGGCCAGGGTTCGGATCCCTTTATAGGGATGGCCGGTTAGCTCACTTGGGAGAGGGTGGTGCTGACAACACCAAGTAAGGGTTAAGGTCCCCTTACCAGTCAACATTAAAAAAAACAAAGGTGAGTGTGGTGCTGACAGTTATTTATCCGTTAAAAAGCCGGCCGTCCTGCCCCTCCCTGCAGGCCGCGAAGGCTGAGCGATCTTCCGCCTTGTCGGAGGTTCGGAGGCAGAAGCTTTTGGTTCTTTCTGCTGCCCTCATAGACAACAGTGGGTAGCAGTTCGCGTGGGCACCGAGCCCGCAGTTTCCTGCTAGTTCTGCACAAGTTAAGAGCAAGTGTGCCGAGTTCTTTTCTCGAGGACGGAACGCAGTGCCGGGACGATACTGTGACACTGCACCTCCCCGTCGCAGCCAGCTTTTCGGGTAGTCGTCCAAGGGCATAAGACAATTCCTCCAGGCGATGTGATACAATTTAATAAGGCTGGAGAAGGGAATGGGCTTTCCTTTTCAGGCTGTTATGTGATGTCTCATTCGAGTTTGTCGCTGATCTCCGTCGCCAGAGTGGCGACTGGCTGCGGGGAATGGGAAGAAATAGGGGTGTTTTCCTTTTGACCAACCCCGCGATAAGTGACGCTGTAGAATTACGTTGTAGCAAGGGTCACATTGATTCCTGTTGCCATTTACAAACATCACCTTTTTAAAAGAATAGTGTATTAATGAAACAATGTCAACCACTTCATTCCCCACCCTCCCAGGTCAATAGATATTTACAATTGGAAGAGAGAAAATGGAAAAGCAAAAGCCTTTTAAATTGTTTGTACCACCAAGATTAAGCAGCAGTCAGGTGTCTGCAGTGAAACCTCAGACCTTGGGAAGAGATTCTAATTTCTTCAAGGTAAATTTGCATATGAATCTTGATTATTCTTTAAGTAAATAAGACAAAGCGTGCTTTCTTACTGTTGATATTTTATAATTGTTTCATTTAGTAAATGTGGCCTAACTTACCCAAGAACTTTGAATAGCATCGTTTCGAGTGAATAATGAGCATTATTGTGTGTAGGAATTATTCATTTAAAGAAATAATCACTGCTGCTATAGAACTCTGCCTACTGTAGTAGGGCCCACTTATTTTAATTCTCCCTCTTAAGTGATTTGAGGCAACATGTAAGACAATTGCAATGAAATAATAAAATATAAATTAGGAGAAAATTAGGAAATTTCCCAAGGAAAATTAGGAATATTTCAACAAATATCTACATATGGGTAATAATGTTGTGACTGAGCTTCAGATTTGGCTCTGAGCTTCCTAGTGGGCAGGACAAAGAGGGAATCTTATTTATATAGTAGAGTTCTCATTGGAAAGGAGGAATTATAACAAGTTCCTCAGGTGAAACAGAGCTTTTTCTTCTACTGAATTATTTGAAAAATTTCTCATGAGGTACTTTATATTGGAGATGGAATGATGCAATGAATATTTAATTTTATGTGCTGTAGGAAATTTCTTTTGTATGCTGTAGCCAAGAGTATATCATTAAAATGTTATTCAGTAAAGACAATTCTCAGTTCTATGGAGGGAAAGATTATAATGAAATTAAAGAAAATTATACCTGCAAAGCATGTATCGAGTAATGTATAGTTTAGCTTCATCTTACAAGGGAAAATACTTAATTAAAATGTTTTGCTTTGTTTTTATAGCAAAAGCATTTGATATTTTAAACACTATATGTACATTGAAGGATTTACAGTTATAGTCACTTTTTAAAAAGCAGATATATATTACATATGTATGTATTACACTGCTAGGTATCAGAGTGGTATGGAATAGTTTATTTAAGAACTTCTTTGTGTTTCTAGAGTTTCAACAAATGTATTGAAGATGA